GCAACTGTAGCTTTTTCCCAAAAAAACTTTGTCTTCAAAATAAGGGTGCGTCCTATATTCCGAAAAATACGGTAATTATGCTTTAAGTGTAATTTAGGTTATACTGGTTTGGCAGTGGAATAGATTTTTGTATAGATATTGAAAGGGTCATAGTTCAATCAATGTATCTGTTTGCTTAAGAATTTTTATACAAAGCTACACAAAGGGCTATATACCCAAGCCTATCCCTAACTCTGAATTGATAAACTAAAGGGATCAACAGCACCCACCGACAACTATTGGGCTCCTCTTAGCTAATAAAACAGTAATATTTGACTGTCACTCTTATAGTACAAACAGAGCCTCAAAATACAGATAATTACATTTATGTGACAATGGGATGTGAACCACAAACCCTTGGATTCACAAGTCCAGACACAACAACCACTAGAGCCCACTCCAATGATTTATGTATAAAGATCCTGATGATGTCCTAAAATATGCTAATTCCACTTCCAACAAAGTAGGCATGATTTTTACTTCACAGGTGAAATCAAGCACAATTTTTAACATCAAATGACTGTGCACAAGTAAAAATTTATAACACTGAACTTTGGGTTTCACAAGTAGCAACAGATCAAAAGTTAAAACTCTATCACTAATAAGTTACATACAAACTTATTAGTGATTCCCAGGACACCTACCTTATGCTTCGTATCAGTCCAATAAAGACGGTTTTCTCCAATATCAGAATCAAGAGCATATATTTCTTCAGCACTCGACACAGGGACAATTTCCACATTATAGGTGTCTAATGATATGCGTCGAATACCAACTTGACTGGAGTATAAGAGGAATGCTTCGGGAACTTTACACGTTTTATTGTCAGTTTTTAATTCCCAGCCCATTGGACAGGCACAAACATAGCTTTTTCCTGGTCGGTTCAAGCACAAGTGACTACAATTACCCATATTGATAGCACATGCATTGGTTCCTAAAAATAAAATGTATTTAAAGATTTAAAATATCATACTTGAAATAACAAATTTAAAAGGTGAGAAACACTCGGAAATAATTTCACTTCTGTGCCATTATGCTTCGTAATGCTTATTTCATCTCTAAACTTTTCCATATCTAAACTGCTTTTTCTACTACATAAAGAACTCTTACTAAAGTTTTATTACTCCGACACATAGTTATACAATTTATATATGTACCTGAAAAATCGTATCAAAAGCTCCATTTGAATATATTTTGAGATTGGATTTGGATGATTTGCTCACATGGATAAGACTACTAGTACTTTAAAAGATTTTTCAGTGGTGCGATGATTATGTGAAAATGCATAATTAAAAGTGATATAATTTATAACAATTTAATAATAAATAGTTATTTTATAAAAAATTACAATAATTATCATTAACACATAGTAGGTTTGTAATGGACATCTGTAAATTGAAATCAGTCATCTTTTGTAGTGTGTTTGAATGTTTTTATATATTTTTCTCCTGTAGTTTTGATTTGTTGTGTTCAGGAAATATAGCTGCTTAAGTTTAAAATGGTGGAATAAAAGCATGAAAACAGGCAAATGATTAATTTTCTCCTCTATCCATAAATTTAATATGCTTTATATACATTGTCAAAAATGATTAAGCATAGTAGAATTTTCAAAACTTGCTCAAGAAATCAATCTAAATACAAAACAGTATAGCACTGTCATACACGATTGTTTTTAGTTTTAGTATCAATCATCACTGACAAAAGTTTCACACTCCGAGTCTTTCATGCAGGTACATGAACAAAAAGAAAGGTCAAGGTTGGTTTTATATATATATAGATATATATATCTAGCTTTTTAAGTAAGCTATAAATAAATTTAAAATTCCATTAACAATTCAGATTGGCACCATGATATGCTGGAATAAAAAACGTCTAAAGATTGAATGATCTAGGTGGAAAAGTCAAGACAATAAGAGATGAATTAATGTAGAAAAAAAATATTTTTATATTGTTTATAATCATATCCATTAGCCATGTTTTGTTGTTTAGCAAAAATATAAAATGTCAGAGAGAGAGAGAGAGAAATAGGGGAAGGACTCCAATAGGTTTGACAGAGTTATTGATACCTCAGCAAATAAATGTACAAAGATGCAAACAGTTTTATATGAAGCATGGAGAATAAAAATAAGAATAAATGATAATTAACACTTTCACTGCTATCTATGAAAGTTTTCAGTTTTTTACCCATTCTAAAGTACTGTATATGCCAAGTCATAGCAACATAAACTAAAAATGGGCATTTTGGAAAATAATTTAGACAGCCTCCATTTTATTTCATTCATCATGGTAGTTTTATACTTTGTATGGATATTACCGAACTGGAAACGACTTCCAAGATGGTGGTGACCAAGAAACAAGCTTTGCGTCGTTGTGCTGAAGTTATTTTGCAGGAATTAATCACTGATGAAGACTCTGAATCTGATAAATTAAGTGGTAATTCAGATGCAGGAGATTTCGAGAAATGTATACAAGTACCTGGCCATGGATGAGGTAGTCTCCATGATAATCATAGAAGGAGGAATGTAGTATAAGGGAATGAAAATGAAAGTGACTCGAATAATAGTGATGTGGATATGGATGGCATAAATTCACATGCTGGTCCACGTTGCCTAACACTGGTGGTAATAATGGTACTACAGCTGGTCCTATACAAGTACCTGGCCATGGATGAGGTAGTCCCCATGATAATCAGAGAATGAGGAGTGAAAATTAGGTGGGGGACTGGATTAATGTAGTCAGACTTCTACATGTACATCAGTTCACTGGTACTACAGATATAACATTAAGCCAAATAATACAGAGAGCTGTCTTCAATGGTTCAAACTGTTTATTCTTGATGAACTAATAGACAATGTTGTCACAGATGCAAATCTTTATGCTGCACAATTTTTACAGGAACACCAAGATTTGAAAAGATATTCCCGTGATAGATGATGGAAGGATTTGACTTCTAACAAATTTTGGCTGTTTTTGGCCCTTCTCTTCAACACTGGGATAGTAAAAAACCCCAAGATTCGAATTTACTGGAGTAGGGATAAATAGAATAGCTACCCCCTTTTACCTTCAGACTATGGCAAGCCTTTTTTTACCCTCAGACTATGGCAAGAGATAAAGTTCTACTGATATTGAAGTTTTTACACTTCAATGACAACAATGCATGTCCCAGAAACTGTCAAGATAGACTCTATAAAATTTGGCCAATTTACAATTACCCCACAGGAAAAAACTGTCCCTAGATGAAGAAATGCTCAAATGGCAAGGTCGTGTAATATTTTGTTTTGACAATCTGCAAAAACCTATCAAATATGGGATGAGAGAGTACATTCTTTCAGAATCTGCTAGTGAACATGCTTGCACCTAATTACTTCTACTGTAGCATTGACAAAACAGTGCAAAAAAACCTGTGGTGGTCTCTTGGAATACCTGTATGGGTTTGGCTACAATGTATACATGGACAATTATTATAACAGTGTGGCCCTACCCAACTTTTTGCTGGTAGATAAAAGAAAGATCCATGTGTGTGGAACTTTGAGACTAAACCAAGGTGCCTCCTCATGATCCGTGGCATGAAGTTGACAGACTCCAGAAGGGTTAAATGTTTATTGTTAAGATGTAAATGTGTTAGTGTGGAAAGACAAACGGCCAGTAAAAACGATCTCCACACTTCATGATTCCAGGATGAAGGACTCTGGCAGGAAAGACAAGAACAATCAGCCCATCCAAAATACAGCTTGTGTGCTTGATTACAACAGACACACATCCGACATTGACAAACTTGATCAAATGGCAAAATGCTTCCTTATAAATGGAAAACAATCAAATTGACAAAGAAATATGATCTGTATATGTTTGAACTTTGCATGGTCAACAAATACATGTTGTACAATCAG